CTTTCGTCGAATCTTCGCGTCTCTTCGGGGTAACGGTTTCGGCGGTAAAACGGGCGCTTCCGATCGGCCATCGACGGTTTCCGGACTCGATCGTTGTTGACGCTGTTCGACGACTCGATCGTTGCTCGTCTGATTGACGTTGATCCTGTTTACGTGATTCCTGACAGGCAAAGGAGGCGGTGTCCTGCTCGAGGATCCGCGTCCCTTCGATTTCTGCAACGTCGACGACGAGTCCAAAGCGTTCAGTTCCTCCTCGTCGTCCTCGTGTACGCTGTTAACGCGCTCGACGAGTTCCACGTCGTCTTGAATCGGTCGGAAATGCGTGGTCGAGTCGGCGGCCAGATCGGCCGTGTAGAAGAGATCCGGTCTGGGTTCGTGACCGTAACTCAACGGAGCGTCTTGGAAGCTCAACGGTGGCTGAAAAGTGATCGTCTCCTCGATCAGCACCGTGTTCGGTGCCACCACCGCTGTCACCTTCTCGACTTCTCCTCGAGACTCGACGTGGGTCACCGCCTCCGAACTGGCCAAACGGCGCAGCAGATAATCGGGCGGATCGGACGAATAATCGGTCTCCGGATCGTCGAACGGGCATATCGCTTTGGACAATTGCAGATCGCCGTTCGAGTCCTGATCGATTCGAGAAAATTCGCTAGGTTGCTCGGACGCGGTGGACGCGGTCGAGACGGTCGACACGGTCGATACTCGGTCGGACGTGGAGAATCGGTCGATCACCGTGGACATCGAACTTCCCGTGTCGTCCGAAGCGCTTCCGTGGGTCGATCCGCACTGAGACCTGGCGTCCACGTACACCATAGCTTCCGGGGGTTCCTACGGACATATCTTACATTAACCTCCAGATCGACGCTTTTCGATTCGGATACGCGATCGACACCCGATAACAACCTGTTTCGATTTCGCGAACTCCGGCGAATCCTTCGGACTCTCCTGAACCGATCCATCGAGGATCTTCGGCGAAGACTCGCAGCTCTCGAACGAAGTCGACTTGCTGTCGACGATGTTGCCGGTTTGCGAGCCAGGAGAACTGGTTTGCGAATCGCTCCGCGACCTGGATCCGTTCCAGGACTTCTTCACAGGACTCGGATTAGCTTCGCCGTCGGCCAAGCCTCGGGCTTGTCGCAGCTTTCGCGGCGGTACGGGGGGAGGTACCGATGGCAATTCTGGCGGCACTTTGCTCTTCTCCGGTGACGTTTTTTTCTCGGCGCTCACCACCTCGGGCCTGAGAGCTCCTCTGCACCTGACCACCAGCTTGATAACCAGCTGCGATTCCTTCAATCTCCTCACGCAATCTAATCGAGTCATGTGTGTCACTGGTACACCGTCTATCGAGAGTACCTGCAAAGAAAAGAAGAGAGCCAATGATGGGACCGTGTGCGCGTCGCGAGTCACGCGACGAGAGGCTCGTTTCTTATGTATGCCGCGAGCAAACCGCGCCCCGGTTCTCCTGGGAATCGTTACACGGAATTACACAGGGGGCACGTCGCGAATTACCAACTCCACGCTGAACGGTAGCCGTTCGAAAGAAAAGCATCGATTACCTCGTCGCCCTCTCCCAAGGTGCCCCACGAGCATTTAGCCCTGCTCGCCGGACTTTGTTCCGCGCAGCTCTGCACGAACAGCCTCCTGACCCGTTCGGAAGTCTTGTTGCCTCCTTCGAACTTCAAGCCGAATCCTAATCGTTCTCCGGGTAGTCGGAACACCTCGACTTCCTCCTCGAGAAGTCCATCGACGCCGTTCGCCTGGTTTTTCGTCGGGCTCGTAACCGCTTCGTCGTCCTTTTTCCCGTTTCCTATCGACAGCACCGTGACGAAGTTCTCTTTCGGCGGCGGTTGACTGTCGACGCTGACCACCGTCACGAAATCCTCCGTTGTACTCTTCACGACATCCATTTTCCGGATCGTGGTTAAACCGTTCCATTCATCGCGAACACCTCGTTGATCTTTACGGCTCCGGAATGTTGGCCACTCCCTGAAAACAGGTCCCTGCTATTGTAGACGATCGGTGTCGTAATCGACGGACAAGTTCTCCAACGGATTCGAGGTAAGTTCGTCCGTTTCGTCGGATCTCTTCGCGGTTCTCTCGTTTTCTAGTTTCGTATCGATGCTTCGAGCCGTCGATCGACGATTATCGCGACTTTCTCCGTTAATTTCATACGGCGCGATGAACCGGCTTCGAACGAGTCGCGAGCTCCTTTTATTTAGGTTTCGAGGATTATACGTTAGAGAGGTTCGTTGACGTTATCGGTTATAATTATTTCTTTCTTACCGTCGCGAGATAGAATTTGTCCGTTTTAATCGCGCTGTATTTCGTTCGTTTCGCGAATAAATTGTTTATCCGCGAACGAAAAAATACGGATCGACCGAGATCCGGCGAGTTAACGCGACGGTAAGCGAGATTTGCTCGGTCGAGGGAAATTGGAATGCGTGCACCGTTCGCCGCGCAGAAATCCGGTGAATTGTCATCGACGCGGCCAACAGCCGAACGAATAGACTGCGGTAAACTGTGTCACGTAGCGTCGGAGATCTTCTCGGACGGTCATTAAGCGTTCTTTAACTACGTGCCAGCGCGGCGTACTCGCGTGACCAACTTAACGCGGAACTTTCATGTTTCTCGTTCTATGTTACTGCTCGCTTCCCCGACTACCCATGGTACTGTTACAATACCATTAAGCCGCAAATTGCAAACAAATATGAACGCGCGTTTCCATGTAAATCGCCGTTCTTGATAATTCTTCTCGTTAAAGTGTGCCGTCGTTTTCACTGCAATAATCAACGCGTTAATTACGGAAAAAAAATGGTGACTATGCAAGATTCGTTATGCTTTCGTTTCCCTTTCGCCTTATGTTCTTCTTCGACCGAATCTTCCCGCTCGCTTGATCGATTTTTCTTCCACGAGCTCGCGCTCGGGAATCTGACTGTTCGAGAAAATATCTTTGCAAAGACCGGAGAAGACCGGTAGCGCCGCATCGGCCAATAAGTGTTCGGGGACGACTCTTTATTCACCGCCTCCGTCCGTTTTCACTCGTCAGCATCCCGATCCTCTAACGATACGTATATTCTCGTCGCGAGAAAGTATGTTCGTTTCCATCTAACCGAACACGCGGCACGTTTTCCCTTCCCTTCCCTTTTCGTCGCCGTTGCTTCTTTAGCCAACCGATTCCCGTAGAACGCGACAAATTAGAAAGTAGATTGACCCGGGGTCGCTGGTTCGCGATCAGCTGATCGCCGCCATTGAATCACGGTCATAATTTTTCATATTTTCACGGTCCTTTCCGAGCCTTTCTCGCGCTGTTCGACCGAATGGAAAGTCTCTTCCTCGGAGTCTCGTAAATCGGTCGGTGAAACATCGACACTCGCGGCTCGTCTAACGCGTATATCTTTAATAGACAACGGGATAACTCTGGCTTATTTTTATCGGACATTCGAGGAACGAACGCGAATCCGTTCGCGAATCATAAGACTGGTTGGAAGGTAAAAAATTGATTCGTGGACCGAGAAGGGCGCGGGGGAAGCCGAAGAACCATACAAGTGCTCGTAACGGAATTCGTAGCCGCAGGCCCGAGCTCCGCCACATTCTCGATTCGCCGGAGTACGCGCTCTCTCGGTTACACGGCACCCACCAAAGCACCTTGCGAAAATATCGCGAAACGCGCCCGATCGATTCCATCTGATGGCCCCGATACCGCTTCAAACTTGACACAGAAATCTTAAAATTTAGTTTCGCGCTCTTTTCGAACATTTAATTATCCTTTCGAACCGTCGACGGATCGAGCGAATAATCGTATTTAGTTACACCGACGATATATCGCCTGTATCGATCGCGAAAGAGGAAATTACGGGCGCGCGAGAGAGGAACCCTTCAACTGCTCATCCGCCTTGACATCCAAAACTATACCGCATCCTGATAAATGCACGGCTCGATTACGAGCAGGTAATCGGTTTGTCAAACAACCGGGACAGCTGAACCTGCTCCGAATTAATAAACCGCTCGAAACTGACCTACAACTCTCCCCCGTTCTCATCGCGAACAGACTTATTCTACTTTTCGGTCTGCTCCCTCCGCTCCGTATCTACTCTCGCGTCGCTCGTTCCGCTAAACGTTGAAACGCGTCCTACCGCTGCCAGCGCGAAGGTAGTTGGCCTTATTCGGAAGTAGGTATCGGCTGTTCCGCGCGGAAATGTTTACACTCGGTTAAGCGACGGTCTCTCCCGTGGAATTCTGCATTTTCCCAGCCCGTTAAACGACGGTACAATGCGGCAGAATTGCGTAACAAACTCGTTCTCCGTCACGCTTCAGGGATTTTGACGGTGTACTCCATTCATTATTACTCGAATCTTCGTGCATTCATCTCGGCGAGAAAAGCGTCGTAAAATTCGACACGTTTTTCTTTCTTTTGTCATTTCCTTCGGCCGTGTGCCAGAATCGCGAGAGACTCGTTTTCAAGATCCTTTCGTTGCCGCGACACGGAATCTTTCTTTCGAACAAAAGGTCGATACGATCGAGTCGCTTGGAAATTTCGCACGACTTTTCCTTTCGTTGGAACAACGACTCCAAACTTGACTCGATCAACGTTCGTCTACGATACCGCTTTACGTTAAAGCGATCGCGTAATACGACGCGTTCTTACCAACAGACGAGATTCTAAACCGTGTGTCATCCGACTATTCGTAACGCTCTAGGAATTCGCGTTGTAAATCCCTGCCAACTATTTATAGAGCGTGTTTCGCATCTGCTTCGGAACGAAGTAGAAAAGTGCGAAAAAGAAAAAAGGAGGACGAAAGAAGCGATGTTTACACGCGACGAGGCGATAAAAAAATAAGAGTTATTGCACGGAACAGCGTGTCGTTGGAGCGTTACGTGTGCGCTACGAAACACGAAACAGCGAAGAGATCGATGCGATGGTCGGTTTGTTTGGCAAGCGTCGACGCTTCCTACCTCGAAACTTTCACGAGGATCGAGAATAATAATTATCCTTGCGTCGCGTCGGCTCGATATACCTGGCAGCTAGAAAATCACGGCCTATCCGTTAGTCGACGTAAAGAAAAAGCGAAAGAAAAGGGGAAGAAAAACGCGAAATGCCATCGGCTTTCGAAGAGCCCGCTCGATGTCCTCTACGGCGGAAACTGGTTTCGCCAGAGATTTCTTGTCGATCAAAAGGAAACGTTGTCTCTCGTTATCGGCAATCGCTTCCTGCCAGCAGGGTCGACCCGGACGACGCGTCAATCCTCTCGAAGGTCGCAATTCGATTTTACGAAAGTTTCCTATTTAATCGCGAAAAAATGACAAACCTTCGCGACGTTTCGTATCGGTACGACATTCATCGAAGCCTTACTGGTCGCCCTTTAAGAGAGTTAAGGGGATCAAGCGAGCGTTCTTTCGATAGCGAACTGTCTGAATTGCGCGTACCGCGTGTAATATCCTCGACTTCCACCTGTCGCGATGCTCTTTTCGAATCTTTTCGACGCGTCGGACTAACGAGACCATTTAAAAGATAACGTTATCGCCTCTCGACAGGTTAACCGACTAATCGACGATCGCGCTAATCGCGAGAACGATAAACGACCAATTATATCACTTTCCTCTTTAACCGAGAGCACGCTACTTCGTTTTCGATATGGAAAATATTACTCCGTCGCGAGATGTTCGTTATTCTACGCTTTGCAACTTACGATCTGCCGATCGTTGGTTTCGAGTTCGACTGCCAACCAAGACTTCTCTCGCTCGTTCCTGATCCGCGTTACCCGGTTTCGCGGCACGGAACAACGCGAATCCCTCGCGATTTCTTCGTCACGGTGCCACTTCCCGCAACGATTATTCCCCTACTCACCGTTCAATCGTCGATCGTGTTCATCGCTAAGAGAACGCCGAACCAGCTGGCTCCCGATACCGATATCCGACACCGTTCTGCCCGCGTGATTTCCTTCGTTTTTCCACGGAATCGTCCGTTTATCGAACAACGACCCACTGCGCGTACCTGTCACGATCGTTCGACGCAACCGTCGATCAAAAGTTCGCGGGATTTATCTGTTATACGCGACGTCGGACCAAGATGGAAGAAGTTGGTTCGCGATCACGTGGCCACGACAGGCGGAAATCGATGGTTCGACGTGCATTCGGGACAACGCGCCGTGCCGGACTGGCTCGCCAGTAGGCTGACTTTCTTCCACGCCGCGCCGCGGATCGCCCCTTTGATTACAAACACGGTCTACCGTCTCTGTTCCCCTTTCACCGTTTCTCTTTCTCTTACCTACCGGCTACGTTGTTCCTTCTTTGTTTCTCTATCGCGTGCCGTGTACCGTGTGCGTTCGTCGTCCGCCAGAGTGCCCCGTTCACTCAACCTCCTTTGGTCGCAGAGCTAAGCGCCCATCCGTTTCTCCCGCCTGATGCCCATCCGAGAGTCCCCTTCCCGATGCTTTTTCATCAATTTCGTTCTACCGGCCATTTCGAACTTGACTAATGCTGGACTCGGCGTTTTTACAAGGAACGTACCAAACGTCGAGACGGTTTCGTTGCCGCGAACTTTCGGCGCTCGACACCGGCACGAGCGATCCAATTTAACCCGTAGCCGTCATAACGCGAGCTTACCTGCATTTTTTCCTCGGTATTCTCCGCGATATGGATCGGTGATCCGACACGGGTCATTACGGGCGTTTGAATTTTATTTGATATAACGCGTTTACGGTCTTTACCGGAGAATTACACGGCTTGGATCTCACGATCGTCGACGAGTGGCTCGCTTCGCCGATGCGGCCTGCCAGCCGATCCGATCTAACGAGATTCCTGCGGTGTACCCGTCTATTAGCCTTCGCTTCCAATGCCAACCTCGCTGTTTCGGGAAAGAACACGGATTTTCTTCTCCTCCGATGATATTTATAGATCGCTTCAGAATCGAAAAGATTGTTTTCCTAGAAAAAAAAAAAGAAAAATAAAGAGGAAGAGAAAAAGAGTAGTTAGACGCGTTCGTTTTTCTCGACTCGCGAGAGAACGCGTCGACTAGGACATTCTGCGGCGTACCGACGTTCCATATTACCCTCGGACTTTCCATAACGATTAACTCGAAAGAAAAGTGCCGGAGGCGTACTCTCTGCGCGTCTCTTCTTCGTAGCCGTGTTATTACGGTTCGCGGTCTGTCTCGAACGCGTTAGCGTGTCTAGTCGTCCATCGATTCGACGAAGCGCGACCGCTTCGAGGTCGAGTACGAAGCTGACGAAAGCTGCGGGTTCGAACAACGACGAACGATTGAGCACGATTCGCAAAAGTTTCGGAGCCTTCCGTCCGCGACGAATTATCGCGTTGGGAAACGGGATACTCGAGTTACGTCGAATCGATTCTCACCGATATAGAGCTCCCGAGTAATCCTGTCAGACGTGTCCGACATACCACTGGCCCCCTTTGCGAAACCACAAATCCAGTACTCGTTCGCGGTAGCCGACGACCCGTTCCGTCGACCATTGACGTTTATCTCCCACCAGCCGAGCAACCGCCGTTGATTATTTAGCATTAGAGGCACTTTCGCCTCGCGGCGAAACCGTGCCGCTCGCTGGATACGCGACCGGGCGAAAACGACCGGAATGCCGGAAACGGAATTATGCAAAAGCCGCAGCGATGCAACGGCGAGACGAAAGCGCGAGTTCGAAAGCGGCGATGGCCGTGAGAATGTCGTCGCCTTCGAAGAGATCGCCACCGATTTCGACACCCCCTTCGAGCCTTCTTAATGGGATCGAATTCTTAACGGGGTTCCTCGCGGATCGTTCGCGATCTCGCAAGCTCTCGATCGATCGACGAACGAGGGGAAGGAGTAAGAATATACTGGTGGCCGACGATTCGTCGAACGGGAGTAACGACTGCGGGCCCATGGCGAGTTTTAACGGTATATTTCCATCGCACACCGGAGATCTGGGTTGCTGGAGCGACCGGGATCGCGCAAGGTGCGCTTGCCGCGTTATCAATTAAATATTTTGCATTTCTCCGTAACCTCGTGAACGCGTTGCGCTCCTCTGCTTGCTTTTGCTCGATCTTCGTTCGTTCGGGACAAGCAGGATTTAATCGTTTTCTTCATAAACAGCTTCGCGATTTCTGCCACGAATACGCGCGTATGTTGTACATTCGTTTTGACGACGCGATACACATTTCCATGATTGTCCGAAGAACCGTTTAAGTCCGGAATCTATGGCGATATAGAGGCAGCGATCGACCAACAGTTCGAGCAACGGTGCAGCATCGTTGCGTGCCGAGAATTTTACCTCGCGATACGTTTCCTGTTACGCTATGGTACATAGTGGCAATTTCGCGTATTTCACTCGACGATTAGGTTCGTCGCGTTCGAGGAGAAATTGCTCGATCGGAAAATCGAGAAAAATTTCTGGTTTAACGCTCGACGCGAACAGAGAATGATGCGGGAAAACGAAAAGGCAGCGTGGACTTTCGTGAAAGCGAATCTTTTTTTCGCGGATCGTTTCTCTCTTCTGTCTCTCTCTCTCTTTGTCTGTCTCTCTACTCGTCGTTCCTTTCGGAGAAAGAGCGAAGGCTGCTGCCTCCGGCGACGGAGCAAAAGGTATGCGGCAGGTGACTTTCCGATCGGAGCTGGTAGGTGTTTCGCGCGCATATTCCGAACGAGGACAACGATCTCTGCGTGCCTCGGATCCAAATCACGGTACCCTGTTTCTCTCTCGGCATTTTGCTAACCGTTGATAATTCGACTATTTTAAACCGTCTTCTCCAAAAAGTTTCATAATGTTGGAAACGCTTGGAAATTTCTTCTTGCCAGAAGAGTCGTAGCGTCGAGCATCGGTAACCGTTATTAAAACACTAGCCTCTCTTTTCTCGGCTCGATTTCACCGCGAAGCGACGACTCGCGTCGTTCCTCGACGTGAGTGTCGAAAAAAGGTAGAACGATCGGGGAAAAAAAGAGACGATCGTTTCCCTGGGAAGGACGCGTTTTCGAGGGTTAACGACCCTGAAATTTCGCGGACCTCGAGAAGCAGGTACACGGTATGGCGTGGCAAAACTGGCTAAAGAAAGACGAAGAGAACGAAACGAAAAGAAAAGAGAAAGACGAAGTCGAGATGGGTTCTGCGAGAGAAGTTGTAGCCTCTACCTTTTGAACGGAGATAAAACGGGAGATGCTTCGAGGAACAGGTAGTAACGGTATCCACGGGTTCAGGCCATCTCTTCGGCCGTCTAACTTTGAATATCGCTTTTTCGGCAATGTTCGGCTTTAATAGCCTCTTATCTTCTTCGAGACGAAACTCTTCTGCGATATTCCTCTTCCATTTTCGTCTCGTTCTGACGAGACCGTATCTAATTAAATTCTCGTTTCTTCGCGCCTACCGACTCTTTCGTCGTTGTACGATCTGTTCGATCAGTTTTTCGGTGAAACAACGTAAGATGCGTCGACAAGAATCGGACACGAGCCGAGCAAGTGGATCGAACGCGTTGATCGATCGATCATCGGCTCGTGATCCGTGCACTTCTTAGTGTTCCGAAGTCCGGCAAGTGGTCAGAAATCTGAGTATGTTCTCCGTTTAAGCTGATTTTTCTTGCTTAATCACGCGTTCGCCGCAATTCCTTAACCTCTTTTTCGACTCGATCGAAGACGCGATCGTCGATTAACTGTACGTAGAACGATACGTGAAAATCGATGGACGATCGTTCGTGATTGGAATTCGTGGCGTTCCAATGGTAAAATCGTCATCGTGAAACAAGAGGATCGCAAAGGTCGCGACGATTCCGAGTCGTGACGCGAAAAGGCACGTTCTTGAAACGTGGAATCGAGGTCAGTCTCTCGGTGAACGGACTGCAGTTGCATGTCCCGAACATCCACGTGTGGGTGCACGGCCGAGGAAAGCACGGGATGTAAAATGACTATTGCTCTCTCTCTTTTTCTCTCTTTCCTTCTCCCCGACAATCCAACGTCGATTCGAGTTTCCGAAACTTTGTCAGGATCAGCGACACACAGTGGAGCAAGATTCCGCATCTCCGCAAAAAAGTGTTTTATTAAGAAATCTCGTATTTAGCGAATAAAATCCTGTCTTCGATACCGAAGACTATCCAAGAATAGGTGGGTAATTTTAGCGTATTCGATCGATAAAGCGGAAGATCCCGCGACGAAGGATCGACGAAGCGATCGATCACGAGGCGACGGAAAGATCGAACGAGGGATGATAGTTGGGAAACGAACGCGCGTAACGGCGCTTTCTTTTCGTTGCATCGAGAACGATAGTGAAAGCGAGCTATTAACGTTTCGTGTAAAAGGAAAGAAAAAGGAAAAAATAAACGTTCCTTGAAAATATTTCGAATGATTCCCTGTTCGCTCTCGAATCCGAACGATTCGAAGCGAGCAAGCAGCTGTTCTCCGTTATCGTTAACGTCGTTTCGAATAAACGGTCACGAAATACCGTAAAACCGAGAGGTTTCTACTTCTTTTTCTTTTTTTTCGTCGTGTTTAAATTTCGAGCTCGAACAATCGGCATGGTTTTCGGCACGGTTCAGTCCGCGATTTAGATAGTTCGAAAAGCGCCGGTTCAGGCAACATGGAACGCGTTCGCGTTACATTCGACTCGGTCAACAGCGAGACCGATCGAATACGCGGAAGGTGTATAAAAGGCGTCAGATGATTAGACAATCTTGTATCCGCGTATCGCAAGCTCTTTATTGACAAATAAATAGGACAATAATGTATATACAAAAAATAAATAAATAATAGGAAAAAACGTTCACCCGTCTAACGAACAAATATATGTCGGTCACCTCGACAAAAGAGGCACGTGTACTTAATAAGGAAATAAAAGAAACGAAAAGGGAACGAGCCGAGTCTATCGATTTACCGGGGAAAAAGGTGATAAGAAAACGATGATCCTTTACAACGGAGAGTAGGTACATCCTTTGCGAGGATACGGGGTGAAATAACAGGCTTGCGGTTTTCTCAATATTTTTCTCACGGGCTTAACGTAACAATACTAAGAGTACGATCGTCCCTTAACAAGTCGGATTATTAACAATACGCGATACGGTTTTTCTTTAAAATATTCTCTCGACTCTTGTCCTTATGCAAAATACAGTTCAGCGTAGAAAAACTTCGCCTACAAGATCCCTATAAAAATTAGTTTGTCAACTCCGAGGAAGTCGGGCTTGGGTGGGTAGTCTCTCTGTCCGTTTTTCGTCCAGTAAGACAAACGTGCGCGTACGCACTGGAATCGCGGATACGAAATATGATCAGGAAGTAGAATGAAATCGCGGGATTAAACGTGTCGATGGAAAGGGAGGCGGGTGAAACGGCGAGAGAAAATGAACGAGAAAATAAGGAAATTAGATTTCCTTAGCCATTCGATTTTAGTTGAATCTCTGTACGGAGCATGCATCAATGTTTCCCTGATCGGTTTCGCAATCTAATATCGGGCTTGAGCAATCTAATATTGAGCAGTCGCGTGAGGAATCGATCTTGGACAGAACCGAGAGGCAAACTTTGCGCGTCGTCGAAACGAACTAAAACAAGTAAGGAATATAAAGTATGAATTCTGATCCTCGAGGACGAAATCTCGAAAGAAAAATGTCGTCGAATTTCGCCCGACCGTCGAACGTATCTCTAATAAACTTCGCTTAAACGTAAATTGAAAAAAAAAAAAAAAAAAAAAAAAAAAAAGAGAAAGAAAAAAATCTTAGGTTACTCGTGTTACATCTATGACTAACCGTACGTAAATCGCAGAGTTAAAAGAGTACAAAGAAGAAACGGATAATGAAACGATACGAAATAGGAACAAGAGGACAGTCCTCGACGTGTATCATACTTATCATAAGATCCGTAAAGAGATCCGTAACGAGTCGATCTCTTCTGTCAAGAAAGGAAAAAATGAAGTAAACGAAAATACAGACGTTACTCGCGACATCTAATCGTTAGGTAAAAACTAAAGATAAAAGCTTCCGAAAACGAAGTAGCATGCGTGAAATAAGTGTTTCGAGAGTGACCAGTGATTCAGGAAATCAGGAAATGTTTCGATGAATCGAGGAATGAAATGTTTGTAGTTTTGCCGAGAAATTCGATACACGGCACATCGTACTACGATCAACGAACACTGGAACGTAATGTTCGACGGACAAACGATCGTGATCGATCGATCGCGACGCGTCGTCGGATCGATTCTCGCGGCGACGCTCGAATCGCGCGCGCTTACTTGCCGGGCACGAATGACGCTCGAACGGAGGGCCTGTGTTCCTGTTTCGCTGCGATCGCTAGCGTCGGATTTCGCGTACACGCACTCGCTCACGCGTCTACACATACCTCGTCAGTCATTCGTTTAAAACGTTAATCGTACACGGACACGCGTTTCGTCGCGTTTTCGTTTCATTCTCACGCATACCTTGCGCACTCGTCTCGCGTAATTGTACGTGCACGTTTCCTCTCAGTGCCAGCATATTTCTCCTTGATATACATATATACACATATACGTATATGTGTATAAATATATGCATATATATATATATGTATATGTATAATGTATACGTTATATTACACCATCTCAAAACTATATGTATATAGGCCTAAGAAATTTCCTTTTTTTTCTTTTATAGCCACGAGCCGCCTTTTGTACGATACAGAGAGAATTCGTCGCTGCGTAGGAAACATTTCCGATTAATCTTACAGCGTCGTCGGCGTACGCGGATTTGCGAATGCCCGGGCACAAAGTGCGGGCGCGACCTAAGCGTTAACTGGTTTCTTTCTTTTTATCCGTGTAACACTAAATACTTCGAAATACGAGCGAGGCTTCACGAAAGTTTATAATACAATGACCAGTCACGCATGACCGAATTCCATTCGATCGATGGATCGGTTCGCGTTCCGTTCCTCTTTCTTATTAACTTAAAGCGTTCAGCGAGCGTGAGCTGCTACGAAAAAGAAGAAAAAGAAAGACGGTAAAGCTTCCGCGCGACGTCGACTCTTCTCTCGTCGGCTCCCGCTTCTTGGCACTTTAGTCTCGACGAGAAGAGAACGAACGTAGAACAGAGGATTCGATCGCGACGCAACGAGCCGAGCCGAGTCGCGCGTGCTTCGACGAGAAAATTTCTTGGAAAGAAGATCGACGTTGAACCGAGTCTAGATCGCGCTCTCCTTCGCGCGTTACGTGTTTTGTACGATTCTCGTTGCTTCGACCAAAACGTACGGCGATGCGTTCAAGCATGTTAATTAGAATAGATTAGGTATTTGGTATTAGGTCGTTGGTGCTCGAATCTTGTTATAGCGGTCAGGCTATACCGATCGTGCCGGCGGAAAAGAACGTTCCGCGAGGTCGATACCACCCTACGAACAACGAACACGGATGCCATCAATCCGCGGACGAATCGAATTTCATTTTTCTTGTCCGACACGTAAAAAAAAAAAAAAAAAATCCTACTTTTCGTTTTCTTCTCGTTACTCGCGTGTTCCTACGAATCGTAACGATTCTTCGGGAGAAAGGTCGCATATCTTGTACGGACACTAGGATTACCGGTTCGAATATTCGCGGTCATCTCGCGAGTCAACGGTTCCGATGAACACTCGACGAGGCGTGAACCGAAGGTGAATAGAAAAAAGAAACGAACGAACGAAAGAAAAACAAAGGAGAATAGCCGTTGCGGAGAGACGAGAAAATACGTATATACATATACACGTGTATGGAACTTCTACCATTTCGTTCGATAACGTTTAACTTACTCAGCGAATACGGGCGTAATAAATGGGATTAGCTAATCAGTCTTCTGTATTAGAGGCTCGTTAACGTCTACATTCAACCGCGTATCGCGTTGCTCGCGATCGATTCTTTCCTCTTGGCTGCATCTAGGGGTTTTCGTCGACGTACGTACACTGTACACGTTCTCGCGAATCGAACGATCCCTCGTCCAATCAGAATTTCTATCGATACGTTTGCGGTAGTCGCACGGCAGGCACGAGAAAATTCGTACTCGTTCTTGCTCTTTTTCGCTTTCGATTCGCTCGCGTTAGCACCAATGAAGAAGAGCAAGAAAGATCGAGGACATACCGCGAACGATTCTATTGCACGATTTCGAGGAGTAAAATAGAGAGATTTTCGTTGAACGAATCGAGTCGCCAGAACGGGACGAGGTTCCTCGTGGCCAAACGGAAAAGAAAAAGCGACCGATAACTCCTGAATTCGAGCGATTCGGATCACGTCAAATCGAACGAGCGATCGAGAATCGCGACCAATCGTATATACACTATATGCTCTCCCCCAAACGAACATAATCTTAATCTATAATGTACGATAGCGTAAAAAGCCTATAACCGTACAAAATGGCAATTAAGCGCGTTCGATCGTAAAATAGTCGCTGCGTCGTCGCTTAATCGTCACTTTGGAAAATTCTCTAAGGCGGTGCGAACGAAAGGAAGCGAATGTTTTCCTCGTTGCTTGGTCGTCTCGAATCCGTCTCGTTTTCGGGTCGCGCCTTCTTCCGTTGTCGTAACAAAAAGGCAGTGTCTGCTGTTGCGAACGAGCATGGACGCGCGGAAAATCGGAGGTTTTCCGCGAAAGCGACAGGACAAGATTACACCAGGAGACAGAGAGAGGAAAACGACGATTCGTCGATACGTGTTCCCGCGAAAACAGACCCGTTTACTCGGGGGATAAAAATATGAACGAAACATCGTCGCGTCCAAGAGTTTAAAAAGATACAACTTACGAATAATATATGTTCCGATTCTACAGGGCGTCAGAGCTCGTGCCCGAGTCTGTGCAGAACACGCCGCCCGTTCGAGATCGAGTTCTTTCTCCTTCTCGTCCTGGGAGATTTATAAGGAAACATCGTTGCACAGACACTGCTTCTTTGAAACGTTCGATCGATCATGGAAATACGAAATATCGTGGTTCTCTGGGGAATTCGCTCCCGAAATCCTGCTGCCGTGAACGCGAGATTACGTGGTTGCACCTCCGATGTAACCATTATTTAAATTCTCTGATTTGTTCGTAAAGTCAGAATCGGAGAATGTTTCTTTCTTTTCGAGTCTATTGTCCACGTCAATGGCGTCCATAGAAGGGAAATCAACTCGTAATGGCATTGTTTCTCTCTTGTTGACGGCGGGCAGGATTTCGGGGCTACCGTTCTCATAGTCCGGAAGATTCGCTAGTCTGGATGAATTCGGGCTACTCAGAAAGCTTCGTTTGCCTGTGCTCTTCGGGCTAGCTGATCTGTTGCCGGTCGACAGTTGGCTGAGGTTGCTGCGCGACACGCTCTTGGCTGTCGCGAAAGGCGAACTCTTCACGGACTTGAAACTGTCCTCGACGAAGGGCAAGTTCAACGCGTCTTTCCCGGAAATGACCGAATCCGCGGAGACACCGTCGAAATCGTCGAAGACAGCCTTCAAAGGCACGTTCGAGGAATTGAAATCTTGGCAAGTGGCGGTCGCTTTCGAGTTTTCGCCGTAAGAGTCTGCTCTATAACGAGGACTGAAGCTGTTCTTCACGATGCTGGGCTCGAAGCTTGCGAAGTCTCCGAAATGTTGCCGTAACGGAGAGTCTTCCTCGTCTTCCGCGTCCTCGTCTTGGGAATCCTGTAACGCGGTCAATCCCAGGTGTCTGGAAATTTTCGAACGATCGGCTGTACGATACAAACACGATTTCCATGAGGTTTGACGAAATCCGTGGACGAAAAATATTATTACTCACTGATCAATTTGCGGCGACGTCGATCTGTTCTGGTTCCTAGCGTCGATTCCCTTCGAACTGTGGTAGAAACTGACCAGCTTGAAACTATCCGAATCGATGTGTTTCAGCAACATGGTCGCGATGTCCATGAACGTGGGTCGTTCGGCAGCTTTGTGCCTCCAGGTACGTTTCATCAGTTCGTACAACAACTCGGGGCAATTTTCCGGTCTTTCCATGACACCGCCCTCGATCACGTATCGCAAAACCTGTGAAAATTAAAACACCGGTCGAAAACAAAAATTGGACGGTTCTAAATAGATCTCGTTATCGTCACCGAGAAAGACAACGACGAGCGTACCTGATCGTTCGATAAACCTTGATAAGGCTGCGACGCGAAAGTCACCATCTCCCACAGCACGACCCCGTAGCTCCACACGTCCGAACGGCTACTGAACATGCCATCTTTCAAGCTCTCCGGCGCCATCCATCTGACCGGCAGAAATCCTTTGCTTCCCTTCCGATAATAATCCGTCTCGTAGATGTCTCTGGTCATTCCGAAGTCGCCCACTTTCACGGTCAGATCCTCGGCGACCATGCAATTGCGAGCTGCCAGGTCTCTGTGCACGAACTTCTTGGTGGAAAGATAAGCCATGCCGTCGGCTATCTCTATCGCCATCTGCAGTATTCGGTCCAATTTCGGTGGCACGTTCGCGTTCTCGCAAGTGTCCGGTCTGTGACTTCTCAGATACGTTTTCAAATCGCCGTTAACCATCAGTTCCATGATGACCAAAGTCGGTTGACCGCGCGTTACCACGCCTAACAATTTCACCACGTGATGAGCGTCGAAACCCCTGCGAGAGAAAAAGACGATCAGTATTTTCGGCAACGCCGAAAACAACGCGGTTCTCGTTACGAGAACACCGGTTACGACTACTCACTTCATCACGGAGGCCTCGTTCAAGAACTCGATACGTTCCCGATCGGTCGCGTCCTTGTTCACCGTCTTCACGGCGCACCGTACTTCCGGTTTACCCTCTACGATGTCTCTGGCTATTCCCTCGTACACCATACCGAACGAACCGTTGCCCAACGACCGGAGCAGCTCTATCTTCTCCCTGGGCACCTCCCACTCGTCCAACACGTACGGGGGGCTAACGTATTCCGGATTCACCGTGGCGATCAGCGTCACGTTCGACGCGTTTCTCGCGTACTTTCGTTTGTACACGTAGAACGAGCCGAAACTGAGAAACATCACAGTCCCGCACAACAGCAGCCAGAAGATCAGCCAGAATACACCTATCGTGTTTCGTTCCTCGATGTAAAAATACTTGACCTGCGTATAGTCACCATAACCCGCCAAACTGGTAGCTCGAACCTTCACGGAATAGTTACCGGATGGCAATTCTTTCAGAACGTACGAATTGCCCTCTTTCGTGAAATCTCGTCTGGTGATGCAGACTACCGTTGGATTGTACTGCAACAGAAGTAAATGTCTTTCGCTCGTACTCGTTCCGTTTCGTCGTAAAAGACAAAAGAAAAAAGAAAAAAAGAAAAAAAGTAAAAAAGAAACGTCGATTTCCGACATCTCTTTCGACAATTTATCTGTAACTCACGGTTAAAATGTCGACTCTTTTGTATTCGATTTGATAGGTGATGATGAGACCGTTCGGTTGCGGCGGTTCGTCCCATTGAAGCGTGACCATCGTGAGACTGTTGTTCTCGCCGGATATACTCATCTTGAACGTATTCGGGGGAATATTATCAGCAGACTTCATCGGCAGCGTACGATAGGTTCTCATGCTCTTGGTCGAGCACTTCTTGTACGTGTCGTTCATTTCCTGCGCTCTACACGCCTGCACCTCGATGATGTAGGCGGCGAAGTGGCGCAGATTCTTCATCACGAACGAGAGATTCGTACTGGGCACTAGACGCTCGAACACCACGTACGTGCCGTTCTCCATCTTGTCCACGATGGGCTGAAGGAATTTCGAACAGATCGAAAATATGATATGCGAACGCTAAAGAAATTATCGAGAATAATCGCAGGAGCGTACTCTACCTGATCCGACGGTTTCGACGTTTTCGAAGACGAATACGATATTTGATCGAGCTCGCGTTTTCTTCTGCTGGACGACTTCCGCTTCACGTACACCTGATTGTGCAGCGCGTCCTCGAAAGCGATCGAACTGGACGCCTCCTTTTCGCGCAAAGACTGATCGGTTTCTCGATCCGCGCACTCGCACGTTCCCGTTTCCGGCGTCACGCTCTGCTCTTTCTCCTCCTCCATTCGCTTCCTTTCTTCTTCCGCGAGCGAGATCGCTTTTTTGTCCGGCAACAACATGGCTGAAACATCCGATTGTCGTACGTTAGTAAACGAGTTCTTCCAAGTCGAGCGTCGATATTATCGCGCGAAGCGTGAAAAATTTACTCACGTTCCTCGCAATAGTTTCTCTGGTCGATGAAGTTGGGATCGTCCGGTTCCCATCGGCCAAAGATTCGATAGTGCGTCAAATTTCCGTTCTTGTGGAGCGGCGGTAACCAAGACATGTGGAGTTCGTTGCTCGAATTACTCCATGTATTGAGAGATAACGGCGAGCTAGGAGCATCCGGCATCGTCCTGAAGTACGTCAACTTGCTCTGCGCACCCGACTTCTCCGTGGCGATGGAGTAAGTCTTGACGTAATAAGCGTACTGCGTGTAGGGCTTCAGTCGGGACAGGTAGTGCGCGTGTATGTTCCTCTTCTGTTGGCCGATCGACTTCGACCCGTTGATCGGCGGGCTGTCGGCGTTGCTGTTGGTGTTGCTGCCGGCGGGTACGTCGTCCACTTTCCATCCGTCGCCGCCGCACGCGTCCCGTCCGTCGTACATCGTGACATTTTGGTTCGGTGCCTCGATGAAGTAGACCACGTAACCCAGCAAGGATCTCACGTCGTGATGAACGAATGGCTCCCACTCGATCACCGCGCCATACGCCGACTTCTTTCCGACCCTGGTCTTCAGCTCGGTCACGTTGCAGGCCACCTTGTCGCCGTTGCTGTTCGGCGCCACCTCGTAGTCCGTGAAAGGAGCCACGCCCGCTTTTTCTCGCAGCATCTCGATCTTGTAAAGGCACAGCTTCGGATTCAGGTGGAAGAAAATCTTGCCAGGCCCGTCTTTCGAGAGTATCTTGATGTCCCGATGCCAGCTCCAGTCCCACAGTTCTTGGAGATTCTGATTGTCCATCACGAGCAAAGAGTATTTCGAGTTGTTGATTTCGTTGCCTCGTATCACCCGCAAGTTTTTCAGGAAATTCAACGATATCAGCGGAAAGCTACGCACGATCTTCAGATAACCGTCGATCTCCTCGATCGTACTCAGACTGTCTTCGAGCTCTTTCACGATATTTTTACCGCCGCGTATTTGGATCACGAGGCTGCCGGTTATGCGGGTGCAGCCACGAAGTTGCTGTGCCGTCGCGATGCTATCCACGAAGTCGCCGGCGCACTCTTTCTGACAAGGCCCTTCGCACTTTTTGCACGAACCTTTGCCGTTCGTCTCTTCGTCCATGTAACCTGGCGGACATTCTATCACGCAGCTACCGTTAAATGGCTTGTACGGGTAATTCTTTATGTTGTACGCCGACTCGAGCGGTTTTCTCGTCCGAAGACACGTGTCCTCGTCGATGCATCGATAATCCATGAACTCGAGCGTGCCGTTCGGACAGTGTTCGCTGCATTCCTTGTTCCCGGTCAGCACGTCCTTGCACACGGCGCAATCGCGATTCGTTGGGCCGGTACACGTGCCCAGGCACGACTTGTGACAACATTTCCCCGTGTCGTCGCAAGCGTTGTTCTCGCATTTTCCATCGCAAGCTGAAATCGAAAAATCCATCGATCCGGTTAGACGAAAAATCTTTTCCCGTTTTTCACCGGTCTAACTTTCTACCCGATTGGACGTTATCGCGGATGATCGTGCTCTCTTCGAAAGGAAAGGCAAAATTATGAACGATCGCGCAAAAATATCGCGTTTCCAGATAAACGAGTTTACGTCGAGCGCGAGTAATTTATCGATATCTTCGATAAACGCGTCGATTCCGATCTATACGACGAATTATCCGAAAGACGAAAGCGAGCAAAATAATAGAAGGATCGTTACTTCGTTGGCAGTGTTGCTGATTCCAACAGAGGAACTCGTCCGGATTCGTCGAACTTTGTGGACAGTGTTTCTCGCACACCGGGCAACCGTTCTTTGGATTGTTTCCCTGCAAACGGACAAAGTAGTTATGAATTTTTTTGAAAAACGATATCGACGATATCGTAATGTTCGTACGAGCATACATACGATTATAAAGGATAAATTAGAGGCTTGGCGCCAGACGGCCAAATTCTCGTCGTTAACCAAACAACACGGAAGTGAAAAATTCCTTAACTCCCGAATAGGCTTTAGAGTCGTACAGCTTCGGATCGATACGTCTGGCGCCTTCTATTATTTATTTTTATCCCCGCGTCCGACTATTTCCTTCGTCGCCTTAACGAAAACATTTATTTCCATACGTTCTCTTGTCCCCTTAGCTTTTCTTCTAGCCCTTAAGCTCGGGTTCCTTCTAATTTGCTTCTCGACGCCTTTCGTTGCACCGTACGAATTACCATTTCATCGCGCGAACAAACGAAATAATGACTGTTCGAAATGACGCGATTAAAAATCGTATCGCGCTTCTCTTTTTTTTTCGAACGAACAATAAGTAAGCCTCGACGCGTCGTTCTCGTCTCGTTAAAAAGCTCGAAACACTCCGACGAACCCTCGACCCTCGACGCGTTCGAATTTTTTCCACCGCCAGCCGGTAACTAATTAACCCTTTGACCCGGTCACGTTTCATCGATCAGTTCTCGTGACCGTTCTTCCATCCAACTACTGCATAACGTGGCGAAATTTTTCGACGAATCTTTCACACCGTGCGCCTGCTACGACGATCCTCTGAATCGCATCGAATTCGTAACCCGTTGCTTTATTTTCTAAACTATGAAAAATGTCGATCGTTATTTGTTATTTCTTTCAACCCGTTTCAAGCGTATTACGGTATCGCGGCTTTGCCGACATTGCGATCAACGGTTCGTTCGATATATACGCGATTGCTTCGCGTCGATTAATCGATGGATTACGCGTTTGCAGAGAGACCGAACGGAAACATCGAACAGCTTCGTCTCGCGGAAAAGCTACGAGTACACGCGACGTTGTAATACGGCGTAATACGCGTCGATGTCGGGGAAATCAATACAGGACCTCGATGTACGGGCTGGTCGCGCATGCAGATCGTGAACGAAACGGTCGCCCATTGCATTTCAATTAGCGAACGATCGAAATTTTAATAAAACTTTCCGATTAAAGGGGGGGCGGGGTGGTTTGCCGTTCAGCGCGACTCGTTCATCCGCGCTTTTTCATTAAATTCGCGAGTTCGTTCTCGCGCAGAAAATAATTCGGAACGTGAGTCGAGCGTAATTCCTCCGTTCTCGATACCTAACGCGTTGACGGTTCGTGGCTTCGAATCTCGAAACGTTAGATAGCATCCTATCGGAGCTGATCTCTTCGGAGAGATCCGGGTTCGACGCGGGTTCAGCGATTCGAACGAAAACGACGACGTTGTTCGCAAACAACGCGACCACGATATTATTACCCTGCCACCGAGGACGGTCGGTCGGCCTACGCGCCAGAAATAGTCTGTCGCGATCGGAGCCAGCAGCGATTCACTCGGTTACGCTGGAACCGGCTGATATTATCGCTTTCTGCCGGTTCAAGTGGTCGCGTCGCGTCCGGAAGCGATCGGCCCTGAACGAAACGATAGTCGCAAAAAGCCGCATTTTCGACGTTTCTCGTAGACAGTGGAAACGTTCTCCAACTTGCGCGTTCGAAACGATCGGTTTCGCGATTATTTACCGTTGGCCAAATGGAATTGTTTACGGACACGAGGGGCTAGGCGTGGCGAGACGTCGCAACGATGCCAAGGAAACGGTTCGTTGCTCCTTCGCCGGAATAATAGAGCCATGTACAGGATAGAAGCTTTTTGCCAAGACGGTTACTCGATCGGTGCCAGAAGGAACCGTCGTTAACCGCGATCGCGATTTCTTACCGCGCTACGATGCTGCCAAAAGTGGACAGAATTGCTCCCTAAACGTCGTATCGCGGCGCGTTCTACGCTGCTCGCTACAAATTTCTCGTTCGATCGATTCGTTTGATCCGTAAGAACGCGTACTTACCGAGATTACGTTCTCTCCTTTGCCAGCCTTAGCTATCAAGTCCCAGTCGATCGTGTCCACGTAACAAAGCGCAGGATTCTTTTCGAACCGAACCGAACCCCGCACGATGGTCGTCAGACTGTGAAGTCCGATTTCTTGCAAATTCATCATCTCGAACGCGACCAGGGCATAGTTGATGAACAAAGAATGGCCACGAATGACGGTCAGGTTAGGAAATAGTCGACCGATGCTCCGCAATCCCTTTACTCTGCAACCAAACAGCACCGACAAAGGTCAAAAGTAAATACCTAAACGCTATGCTGTAAACCGTGAAAAGTAGCCAAGAAGGACCGTTCAGAGACGCTATTACTATCTTCCTTACCTTAGTAAAGCTTACCTGTACAACAACAAGTATCCGGTGATCTCCTTCAACTCCGGAAACGAAATGTTCACGAACTCCGACGGTTCGGCATTGTCAATTAGTAAAATTTGTACGAATCCTTCGACTAGTCGGCATCCCTTTAGTCTCGAGAAATGATGCACATAGTTTCTTATATCTATACTTTGGCACACTGTAACAAACGAAAAACGCGCGTTAACGAAACATCTTGTAAAATAGATCGAATCTTTTCGTTTCTTCTCGAACACGAACGCGAATCGTCGATTACGATTCGTTTAACGCCGCAGCGGCACGGGGAAACGAAACTCACCGCCTAAAGGCAAGGTCGAGCAACCTTGTCTTTTAACCCGACTAGATCGCTGATATCCGTATCGCGTACCCTTCCCTTCGTACTACTCTCTCTCTCTCTATCTCTCTCTGATCCGACGAAACCGAATCAATTTCAACGTACGAGTTATTAGAACGATTCCAAGGATCTCCGCGATTACGGGCCGCGTCTTAGAACGACTCGTTCGTCGCACGAATAGGCGATTATCCAACGAGTACACACGATTCGCGTGTAATCGTAATTTTCGTCGTAAAAGCGTATCTTCGAAACGATCGGGTCCTGATCCCGTGGCAAAGGCACGAGGTAACCCGAAGAGTTAGCCAGGAACGCCGAATCAGCCGAAGAATTAAGGAGCTTGGGAACGCTCGTGGAGGAATTATCGCGATTGGACGTCGTTGGAATGCGCGAAGAGAAGGAACGTGTTCGTCCACGTGCGGACGGACGGTATCGTTTGCCGGCCCCGACCGTGATAGACGTTCGTCGCTACTCGTTACGTCCTAACCTGGAACGAACCATCGTCCACTTCGAACCACGCTCGATCGTAACGGAACGAGCGCTAAAAATACCTACGCCAACGACGACTGGCATTGGGATAATAAACACGGATAGCCACGCGATCGTTACTGGTCACCCCGTGGTCCCGCGTTTACCGCGTTTACCGCGTTCATCGCGGATCCGCTCTGCTCAACGATAACGTTCCTTCTCCGGATATACTCGGTTCTTCCTATTCGCGCACGTTCTCCGCGTAAACAAGGCTAACGCGCTGATTCTTCGTTCGAAAGGTCGAAACTCTGTTCGATAAATCAACTATCGACTCGCGTGGACGCTTTCCTAATTACGAGACTTCCTCCGTCTCGTTCCCGATAACGAATAACTGCGTTGTTCGCGAAAAATCGAGGAAACGAATCGAAATACAGAAGCAGAAATCGACCGCGCGTGGCATTCCTGGACCACCCGAAAGAAGAATCGTATCGGACGGGCAAGTTTCGGCGTTGGCCGTAGCAACGCCCACGTGGACGCCCACTTGGCGTTTTCGTCATCGAACGATTCGCGATAATAGTGTCCCCCGTTATAACGACCAACGAAAAATCCCGACCGTCGCGTTATCCGATTCTCTAGAGTCTAGAGAAACGCGAACGGTAGAATCTGAACGGAACTCGAACGTCGCGATCATTTGTCACGCTACGATCGATCGTGTGTTCATAATGAATCAGCGAATCGCTGCCACGCGCCGTCCTAGCTCGGCTTCGGTTATCGTCTCGCGATCCACCGATTGACCGATAAAAGAATAACGAAGGAATCGATCGATCGACTATTAGATGCCGACCACGCGTCGATAACGCGACTTTCAAACGATTCGTACCCTTACGTACGTACCTCGGAGTCGCCTCGTGTCGCGATAAACAGCGTTATTGTTTTTATAGTTGAAATACCGTCGAGTTAACGAAAAGCAACGTATCGTATCGCGTCGATTCGCGGCACGCGATAGATTATTTTTCCTGGTGCGCGGCCAGAATTCGATTCCGTGCGAAAGACGACACCTCGAACGCGAGAAAACGAAGAAACGCGTCGAGGAAGCGCTTTGGATCGGATTTAGCGATTTCAGCTAGACGAAGGAGTCGCGTAACGTTAATCGCGACTCTTCCCTCCTGTACGGATTTTTCCTTTCGACCACGGTCTACATCAGCGCGGAATATACGTAACAGTTTTCGAAACGTTTCGCGACTTTCTAACGCGAAACGACCACTTACGCGAAATCGGACGACTAATCGATACGCGTTCGCGTAAAAAGGATATCTACGCGGATCGTGTTTCGCTCATCGAATCGAATTTTAACGAAACCGAATCTTGACGAGTCGAAATCTATCGAGAAATCTTCTCTCTTTGCCGCGCACGAATTAATCCGAAAATAAGTAAAAAACTACTTTCCAATCTACTACTTTCAAATGATTTAATACCGTGACACGAACTAACACGAGCAACCAGTTTTCCCAGATACTGTTATCAGAATTGCTAATGGCGAGCCGAAGTAAATAAAATTCCTTTTCTAGATTCGTATGTCGATTCGTTTTATCGATTCGGTCGGACGATAGGCCAAAATCGTGCATTTTATTCCCTTGCAGGAGAGTACCTTTCGATCTCTAAGGAACTATCGATTCCTGTAATTATCGTTTGTCAACGTAGTTTGATCGTGGGAAATCTACATGGCCCCAAATCGTTAATATCGTCGTTAAATCGTTCGGATCTTCCTTTCGGTTGGTCGAGATCAGGGAATAACTTTTATAGGGAATAATAACGGTGCACGGATCGAAATTGCCGTTAATATTACCAGCAATTACGCGCTATAAAATTCGCTAACACTGTACGCAATCAGCGATAAACCGGATACCTAACGGCGCCCAGAATTTAGCGTGGTAATACTTAATGCACGGCCTCGAGAACCTATCTGGCCGAATCCGGTTTGCCCTTCTTCCATTTTTCGCTGATTCTTTGCCGCGGCTCGAAACTCGGAAAAACTCCTTTCCGACTTTCTCGGAATCATCTCGTCGTCGTAAGTTGCTGTTGGAGGCACGGCTCGAATGTTTCACGGGGCTTTCGGTTGTCCAGATCCAGTGTGTAGAGGAAAAAGGGAGAAGAGAGAGAGAGAGCGGTTCGACAATTAAAACGCTTTGTCTTTTTTTTAATCCGTGGACAGTGATCGCAGCCAGGTTTTTTTATCGGCATCGCGATGTTCCTTCGATAGCCTCCACGAGGTTGTCGACTCCGCGAAACCTAACGAGTTTCTTTCTGTAGGGTCGGCTCTCGACTAATCGTGCCGGTGAGAAGGTTCGTTTGTACGCGGGCCACCGCGCAAACCGATCGCGAGAAATATCGAAACGCGATCGCTCTACGTCCAATTTTACGCTCGATGTTTCGATCACGCAAAACGTAGTCCGTTCGCGATATTTACGAGCAACCTCTCAAACCGAATGCAATAATTAAGACCAACGCAGATTCGACCAGAGACTATAAGATAATCGGCGTTACGGTTACCTTGGTTCCGTATTACATCGAGAATACGCTTACGGAAGGATTAACGAGCGGATTATACGGTGACCTATGATACGGTACTATTTAGAGTCGAGCAGGGTTAAAAATAAACGTAGTGGCATCGAGAAAGAGGCTCCCAATGGGGTCGATCGAATCGTTGACGCGATCTACTGAAACAGTAGCGACACTGCTACTATCGCGGACCTCTCTCTGGAGTCTATTTTAACAGCGTCTCTTCTCTCCAACCCCCCTTTACGATCGAGCAACACGGAGGTTAAACTCTACTTTTTGCGCGGTATTCTTTTATAAATGAAACCACTTACGCGCACTCGTTACTTCGAACGGAAAAAAGGAGACCGTTGTACTTTCTTCGATCGAGTTCGTTTTAACGCTTTTTCGTCGGCCAATATCGCGTACGCGACCCCACCGAGCAGAGAATCGACGCCGTTCCTCGGCTGTCAAATAAACAGATCGCGCGTTTCCGTACAGTCCATCAACCTTTCGCGAAACGGAGACCGTGCGCGCGATCGCTAGCTCGATCGATTCGTCGTCGATCTCTCGAGGGTAACAACGCTTCGCGAAATTCTTTTCCGCGATCGTTTCGGATCGTTCGGTACCGTTTCTCTCTTTCTCTCCGCGCGTTACGAGAAGCCTCGACGTATTTACATTCTCCTTGATACACCGAAGCGGACGGCGGTTCTATTAACGGAGTCGTTAGCAGGTGTAAGCCAGTTAGAGAAGGGCGCACCGACAACTCGCTCTATCGGCACGCGCGAGTACAACGAAATCGTTGTCCGCCATATTGCAATTAACGGAGATATACGCCGGCTAGTGGGAGGAGATTGCCGTCGGTTAAAAATGAACAAAAGGCTCGCAATGGACTTACATCGCATTCCAGACGTTCTCTTCAAGGTTATCAACCGTTCACCCAAAGATCGAAGCTTACGCTTACGGTACAGTCCGAGCGCGAAATTCGCTTCGTGCCCTTCGTACGGGCTAATTCCTTAAGCGGGGGCTCTTAAACATCGTTGCCGAAACAACGATACAGGAATTTACGAATTCTGACCGGAACGGTAAGTACGTACGCTCGTGTTTCGCAAACTTCCCGTACGCGAAGGTAACTCGCTTCGAAACCCGATACAATGCGCGATACGCGATTCCACGGAGTTAGCTACAAAGTGGCTTCGACCGGCTGTTCGGTGCGGTTTCCGAGAACCCTTGCGAGCAGTCGATACCTAGCCGCCATTTTCTAGCCAGGAATTTTCTACAGCAGGCCCCGCGTACCGGTTCGTCGATGATTCAGCGTCCCTCGGCTTATTTGTTCGCGAGAAACACTCTCGTCGACCGGATAATTCTTCCGTTCGCGAATCGATTCTTCGATCCAACCTTTCGATCGGACGTTCTCGGATTATCCGACTTAGAGCGGCGTATCGTAACGAGGTTATCGTCCCAACTACGATTTTACCGTCGAAAAAGGAATTTCCGATCGTATTCTCGATACGGTTTCGTGCTCGGCGACTCGGGGCGAAATTTGTGCGAAGTCGCGCAGTCCATCAACCTTTCGCGAAACGGAGACCGTGCGCGCGATCGCTAGCTCGATCGATTCGTCGTCGATCTCTCGAGGGTAACAACGCTTCGCGAAATTCTTTTCCGCGATCGTTTCGGATCGTTCGGTACCGTTTCTCTCTTTCTCTCCGCGCGTTACGAGAAGCCTCGACGTATTTACATTCTCCTTGATACACCGAAGCGGACGGCGGTTCTATTAACGGAGTCGTTAGCAGGTGTAAGCCAGTTAGAGAAGGGCGCACCGACAACTCGCTCTATCGGCACGCGCGAGTACAACGAAATCGTTGTCCGCCATATTGCAATTAACGGAGATATACGCCGGCTAGTGGGAGGAGATTGCCGTCGGTTAAAAATGAACAAAAGGCTCGCAATGGACTTACATCGCATTCCAGACGTTCTCTTCAAGGTTATCAACCGTTCACCCAAAGATCGAAGCTTACGCTTACGGTACAGTCCGAGCGCGAAATTCGCTTCGTGCCCTTCGTACGGGCTAATTCCTTAAGCGGGGGCTCTTAAACATCGTTGCCGAAACAACGATACAGGAATTTACGAATTCTGACCGGAACGGTAAGTACGTACGCTCGTGTTTCGCAAACTTCCCGTACGCGAAGGTAACTCGCTTCGAAACCCGATACAATGCGCGATACGCGATTCCACGGAGTTAGCTACAAAGTGGCTTCGACCGGCTGTTCGGTGCGGTTTCCGAGAACCCTTGCGAGCAGTCGATACCTAGCCGCCATTTTCTAGCCAGGAATTTTCTACAGCAGGCCCCGCGTACCGGTTCGTCGATGATTCAGCGTCCCTCGGCTTATTTGTTCGCGAGAAACACTCTCGTCGACCGGATAATTCTTCCGTTCGCGAATCGATTCTTCGATCCAACCTTTCGATCGGACGTTCTCGGATTATCCGACTTAGAGCGGCGTATCGTAACGAGGTTATCGTCCCAACTACGATTTTACCGTCGAAAAAGGAATTTCCGATCGTATTCTCGATACGGTTTCGTGCTCGGCGACTCGGGGCGAAATTTGTGCGAAGTCGCGCAGACATCGCGTCGCGCGACGTTTCTAGCTTTCGTGCGGCGCCCCGACGCTGCCTTCCGGTCTCTGTCACGATTTAACGAGCCGAAAGCACGAGAATGTAACACGGCTCTAATTTATACGGTCCCCTTTTTCGAGTCCGTTCTTCTGTCCCGAGATCCGACAGAATCGTCGACACGCGACCACGCCGCCGACTCGTCTCGCTCTTAAATTCCATCGGCCGAAAAGAATGCTATCGGCTTAATTTTTAATCGGAACCGTTCGAGCCTTACGATAGAATACGAGGGCCATTAGCGGGGAACGAGATCGATTCGGCAGCTCGCAACAGCAACGTATTAAATCGGATTTGCGCGCGGAGCACGGGAAGCGGCGTGTTCGCGCGAGCGAACCACAACACAAACGAGGTCGTCGACCTTGGCCAGCCGATGACCGTAGGGCCAGGTGGAGCGAGTCGATGGGGGTCTTCCACGAGCGTCTTCTGTTGGGCGTTTCAACGATACCGGAAGTTGCCGTCTAGACGTTGCCTTTTTTTCCCCTTCTTCCTTCGGTTACTACCACCGACTCCGTGGCCATCTTGCGTTTCGCCACTGAAATTTCTGCGACTCGTATCGCGATCGAGATACAAAGCGATCAAGATGAACGATCTCTATTTTTCTCGTAACGTTTCCTTTTCGTTCAACGTGTTCGTTCAACGTCGCGTCCGACGAGGAAAAAAAAAAGCGCGATGACGACGCTCGCGGAACACGCGGCTGATCGGATATTTCCTTTCGAGGGCGTTCGACTACGCTCCGTTACACCCTTTTGCTATGCCGATCGCCTGTATTTATTCGTCCGTCTTTCGTCGCGTTTTACGGCTGGCCGGAAATCATTAAATAATGTCACCGCACGACTTCCGTTGTCACTTACCGTAAATGGTCGCGACCACTTAATATGCAAGCTGACACGCCTTAATTACATCGTTCCCCTCCCACGCGAACCTCGTTTCTCGACTTTCTCTATAGCTTCGCGGCGTTCGGAGTTTAGGCTTTTCTCGAACGAGGAACCGACCGTTTTCTACGATCGAAGCGGTTTATAAGTTCGATAAAGCTTTAATACCGAGTCTATTATCCCGTCTACGTGCTTACTTACGTAGCCCGTCCTTCAACGGGTCCGAATAATCGGAGTTTCGCCGTAAAATTGTAGGTCTTTGCGATTCGTTTAACCTTTGCATTAACCTATTCCTATTACACGCGTTCTATTATACATACATATACCCGCGCTAAGCCGGTAAACGCGAAAAGGTTAGAATGGGGCGTCTTTTCCGCGTTTCGATCCGTGCCTCTGACAATTTTTCACGGTCGTACGCCGAGATCGATGCCCGTTTTCGCTTTCCGCGCTGGGAGAAGAACTCTCGGTTAACCTTCTCTCGAACGCGAACGCTCGTAAAAGTCTCGTGTGCGCGTTCTTACGTCACGTTCCTGGATTCTTTCATGGTTCAACACCGTTATTCGCGCCTTCGCCGCGATAACAGGATACTTACTCGATCAATTTCGCCGGCAAAAACGGTTACGTGGTCGAGCTCGCGTTAATTGTCGAACGCCACAGGTGGCGGTAATTTGAAAGAACAAAAAGAGTAAAAGTCTCTCGACGGTTTATCCTGTCGTTTACGACTTTCGACTCGCGGTAAAACGATTCGTAAATACAAAGTTCCTCGACGTCGGCGACCACGACGCGCGAACAACGATGTCGAGTCACAACTTCCACACATTTTACGAGCAAACGAACGTCGCTGACGTTTTGTCGGTGGTCCACGAACCTTTTCGAATTTCTTTCGAGAACGCTACGAAGAAAATGTTGGAAATGAAAACTGTTTAACGACGACGACCGAAGAATCTTTTGTACGCGCTGCATCGAACTGTACTCTATGGTCACCGTTTCCGCGTGTTTAGCTAGCCAACGAATCGTGCCAACGATCGATAGAGCGAAGAAGACGAAAAAAAGGTCATAGTTAGGAATTTGCCAGACGGGAAGTTTAATAGAGAAAATAGGGCGGTCAGATGGCAGCTTGATTATTCGACGGGGCAGGTCGCGTTGGATTCGTTCGAGACCTGTTCCATTTTCGGAGGCCAAGTTGGAGATGACTTACGACTTATCGATAAAGAGCGGGACAAAAAGTGTTCCTTAACACGGACGGAAAAGTAATTGCGGAAAGGGAGAGCGAACAGTGTCGCGATACGAAAAATGCCAACAATCGTCTAGGCAACTGGACGCGTCATCCTCGAGGCTTTCGCGCGTATTCAAGAGCTGATGATGCGCATCGTTCCGGGTCAACGGGTTAAACAACGGCGAATCACGGATGATAATTAAATAGAAGATCGATTCGGCGCGACGATGCAAATCGGAACTGGAAACGGTCGACGATCGAAAATCGGGGAACTAAAGGGGATCGTTAACGAATGGAACACGTGGCGTGGCACGAAACCCGGGCAAACACGGCGCCGTGGGGCGTCGGTGCTCGCGACAAAGACGACTCTCGACTCGTTTCGAACCACATTCCGCAACGTGAATCGTTTACCAACGACCGACGCGACGCGGCTCTCGCACAGGTGATGGACAATAAAAAGGTACGCGCTTCGGATCGTTCGATACGTCGAAATTTTCTCCTCCTTCTTCTCGGTTTTGCTCCGCGAACACCGCATTTTCGTTATTCGTTTCTCGTCGTTTCCCACGACAATTTCGTGTCTCCCGTTCAATCAGACCGTCGACCTCGCGGTCGATTGACGCATTTAAACTCGTCTCGAACAGACCGCGGTGCCGTTAATTGTTTACTGCCCCTGATCCGTCGCTTCCGTCGCTAAAATTCCTACGGATAATAGCCGTTAAATCGAGTACGTTTTATTTTCGCGCTTCGAAACGAACCCGAAGATATTCCCCAGAGTTACGGACGATGGAAAGGAGAAAGAAAACAACTCGGACGGTTTTTAGTCTGGAAATAAATTGGTAGTAAACGGTATCCTGTTCCGCGTACGTATCGCCACGCGCTAGTACTCGATTTCCGCCGGAAGCATACCGTCGGAGAATCATCGCTCCGTGCCGATTCGACTTAATTCTCGCGTTGCTCTCGCCTTGTAAACCATCTACGAGGCATATGCAAGACGTCTACGAGGATCGCGAGAACGAGACAAGTTATTTTCTCCTCGACATACGCGACAAGCATGAACTTTTAGTCGAGCGTCGATAGAGTCGTTGTGACGCTCGATATCGAGGCTAGACGAAAGAAATTGTTCGAAAAGAACGAAAGGAAGGTAAAAAGGTCGTGACACGCGTCGAGAAACGATCGGATCGAAGGGAAGAGATATCGAGAGGGAAAGTAGGAATCCGTTGTCGCGACGCGGCTGCTCACGAAGGATGTCAATTAGATAAGCACCGATCGTAGCTCCATTCGCGCGTAACGAACTCGAGGCTGACCGATAGGCGTCGCGAAACTCGTCGCCAGAGAGGATTCGTTCTTTTTAAAAACAAGCACTGCAACCTATTAGCCGATACACCGTTTCGATCGGTTCGCGCACACTTCGTGGCCTCGAAATCGGAAATCCGCGGTTAGGTTTACTTAAAAGGAGGAAACGTTTCCTTTTCGTCTGTTCCCTTTATCCGTTAATTCGACGAGGCAGCGGGAAAAACGAGGGCGTCGGGTTAAATATTTCCAGGCCATTTACTTTCTCTCGGCGGCGACGTTCGACTCTGCTGCTCTCGGGAGTCGATTCGACGTTACGCGCGATTCGCTCCTGCTCGAAATCTCTCGAGCAGCTTCTCGTCGACCGTACCAAAATCGAATCGTGCCTCGATCGACGCAACAGTCAATTTTCTTCGAACCAATCTCGACTCTAATTTATCGTTGGCTGAGAATCGTTTTCATCGAATTCCATTGTATCTCGAAATCAGCGTTAACGCGCGTACTTTATTAACCGGATCGAAACGAAGCAGCGTTTAACTCGCGGAGCTAGAATCGAGGATGAAATCGCGTTAAAAAAGAAACGCCGTTGCACGCGAGACAGAAAAAAAACAGGGAAAAAGGACAGCCAATATCTATTCGATAGCCCGGGCAATTAATTAATATTTGCGTTCCCGAGGTAATAACGCGTTCGTCCGCTCGCAAAATGGAAACGAAAACACGGTCAATATTTTGGTACACGAAGGGAAATTCGTAAACGACGGGAGAAAGTTGGCTGTCGACGAATACGCCCGTGATATGATTGCTGTTATACGGTCGTATGCGAAGCAGGAATGTTTTCGTATGAAATTTTTCGTATAGGCAGATATCCGAAACGTATATGTATATCGTATGTACGGTTTAATCCCGCCGTAAACGGATGACCGAAGAAACCCTGAGATCCTCTTCAACGATTATTAACGATAGTTATTGTTCGCGAGACTCACCTCCGTCTTCTTTGGAGAGACTCCTTGACGTTTCCTTTTTGGGATCCGCGAGAGCAGGGAACACGAGTACCAGTAGGAACAAAAATGTCCAAAGCAGCGTTCGTCTGCTGTTCCAGCTCCATCGTACGACGCTCGACACGCTGTTCGACGAAGAGGAGGAGGAGGAGGAGGAGGAGGACAAGGTACGAGGATCGGTAACGCGGTTCGACGTCCCGCAGGAAGTCATGACGCGCGTATCCGCCGCTTCGAACTCCTCCGAATCGCGACGATCTCGACGATCTCGAAGACGATCGCAGATTGCGCAACTGGTCCATACGGGACGAATCGACGAGACGGGAAAGAGGCGGGGTCGGACGCGGTCGCGGGACGGATCGACGGCGTTCGGGCAACGGCACCGACGACNNNNCGACGACCGACGGGGTTAACGTCGTCCGCGTCGTCGACGTTCGCTCCAGCCTCGACGGTCGGTGTCGTATCGTCTTCGGACACCGCGTTACCGAGCCTGCGCACGCACCACGTTGACTTCATTTTTCCGTGAACTTTTCGCGAGTTTACGATCGCGCGTATCGACCAGAATTATCCTTCGACGATCTGCGCTCGACGAATCGATAGCCGAAATATATATCTTCAATTCATCCTTTTCCTGTTGTACCTTCCTCCGCGCTCGTTAGCGCGACCGCG